GCCCTTCAACGACTTTCTTGCTGCTGCTGTCGCCGCAGCCGCCGCTGCCAATATACCTACAACTAGTTTACCCGCCAACGCCACAGTAGCAGCAACGACTGCAGCCGCGCTGCCCAGCAACATTTTACCTGCAGCTGTATCGTGCACAGCATCGCAGCGTGCAGCTCAGTCGCTCCCGTACACGACAGCAGCAGCGTCATTGCTGTCTCAGGCTTTGTTTGTCCACACAAAGATTGAGGATCAGGTCGCGCCAGCTGGAGCTCCGCCATCACCGCCCTATGACTCTGCCTTTGGGCGCAAGAGAAGAAACTCTGTTCCAGATGGACGGGTGTTTTCCTGTGATTATGACGGCTGCAACAAGACGTTTATGCAGCTGGCACACTTGAAGATTCACCAGGTAGGTTAGACTGACAATAGGATGTGTCGGTGCGTGGGAAAGTTCCAGAACACTCTGATGCGCCGTACAGGACGAATTGTCCGAGTAGTCCACTGTCGAGTTACTGGCCATACGGTGAAAAGTCCCTTTTTAAGAGCAACGGCCGAACAATGCGGCTGTGCTGCTGTCTGTACTACTGGCATATGGCTTTCGCTATCTGAGCTCTTCATCTGGCTTTGCCCGCTATTAGCCACAGCAAAGAGTGCGTTTCCAAATCCGTGATGCAACTGCTTACCGTGCTGTCAATCTCTTCCACCATATCTATAGCGCAAGCATACGGGAGAACGGCCTTATGTGAGTTATATAGTTTGACCTTCTTTGCCACGGCCCACGCATGTTGACTTTTTTTTATCAGGTCTGCACATTCCCTGACTGTGACAAGTCTTTTACCCAGTTGGGGAATCTGAAAACCCACGAACGCAAACACACAGGCGAAAAGCCCTTCAAGGTTCGTATCTGCTCTGCGTGAGAAAAAGACAACAGGACCTACACCGTGCGGGTTACTGGGAGGGGTTGTGGGTTGACTAGCTGAGCAAGGTCACGCCCCCATCTATTACAGATGGGCCAAAAAACAGAATTTGGGCTGGACCGAGTCATGAAGGCTGTTTACTTGACAACCTGTACCCTAACCCAATATCGGTGCTCCCCCCTTCCTTGCCCTCCCTTTTCTTGCCCCTCTATGCATCTGCAGTGTTCGTTTGCTGGATGCGACAAGGCCTTTAGCCAAATGGGCAACATGAAGACTCACGAGTTGCTCCATTTGGGGGTCAAACCTTTCACCTGTGGAATTGAGGGCTGTGATCGTGCATTTAGCCAGCTGGGAAACCTAAAGGTATGTGCTCATAGGTGTGTGTGTGGGCAAGGTCAAACAAACTCATCATGATGTACTTGTCTAGTCACATCAAGCCAAAGTCCACCACAATCCATCGCGGCAAAGATCGGGCCTGAAGCGCTCCATCACACCTTCATCAGAGGAAGAAGACGGGGAATCTCTCTACAAACGCCGCCGTCGCTCCTCATCTGCGCATTCTACAACCAGCTCCTTAAATGATGCTGTCGTCCCTTCAGACGGGTCATCTAGTGACGGAACACCGCCAAAGCCAAGACGAACAGGGCAAACCAAGGAACAGCGACTATTGAAAAAGATGAAGGCTGTACTGGAACGACGGACATCTGGAGATCAGATGGGATTGCAGTATGTTGAACGTTGTATGCGAGTGGTAACGACTATCCATCTCACTGCAGTATTTTAGACTTTCCTTTTCCGATATTCCAGAAGAAGACGAACAAGTTTGTTTTTGAACCAACTTGACCTCCCCAATGTTAAGAATACCCGCCCCTTCCCCTTTTTCTCACCTTTCGAAATCTACTGCCCATCTGTTTCCATCATCCATGCGCTGTGTGAATAGTTGTTTACAGGATTTGGATGGGCAGAAAGATGTGTACATACCCCTTTTCTACTTTCGGTTAATTTTGGTGTAATGAGTCTCCCATCCTTCCCCTCTCTCTCTCTCTCTCTCTCTCCTCTCCCTTTGGTGTGGTTTTTTTTTTTATTAAAGTAACAAGAATGTAAATACGTAACTTTTTTAAAGAATGGCTAGATTTGTCCAGATTTTTGTGTAGTGATGCTGGTGAGGTTTACACCGGTTTTCCTCATGAGTGCGTTGAATCAATCCCGTTGGCATTCAGTAAGAAAATGCTATCTGGACGAAAGGTTAACCTCTATAAACACCTGCCAAGGGCATTGCATAGCAGCATCCTGGCCGCTTGCACCTGTTGTTTAATGTTGACAGTAGAGGTAGAATAGTCATAAAGATACGCAGGCGGACCAGGAACTTCAAAGACTTTGGCGACTACCTGAATTACATCAACGTCGTCGAGAACACTGTTTGGACATGCGTATCTCATACGACTTTCATATAAAGTATTAATACATGCTTATATGCCCTATGCCAAGATTCCATTTACATGAAGACAGATTCACCCCTTTTGGGACGGACGAGGCTGCGTGTATCTGCAAGTCTAGTGGCCATACCGGAAAGATTACACCACCGATTGTTGGTTTCATCTGAACCACTATCAAACTGGACACCCATAAATCCGTCAACTATAACGAAGCAGATCTTTATACCGAGTAATAGGAAAACAAGAGACCGCCTGAATGGCGAGTACTATAAACAAATGCTAGTGGTGTCATCAATTATTCCACCAGACTATACACCAACGATAACATCATTTGCGAGCAGAATAACCAAATCCCAATTCCGGATACTGAAGTGGCACATGATCCAACTTTTCCGAAAGCGCATTCAAATTCAACGGCATAGAAGGTCCCATAAACGTTGCTCGATATGTATGATCTTTAATTTCTTCTTTTGTCAACGGATGAATCAAGATGGATACGTCCGGGGTACGATGCAAAGAGACCCAAGAGTAAAATCGAGCAAAATATTCGAATGGCACCCAGACTTCATAAGAGCCAACAGGGTGAGGTCCTCGCGGGATTTCATTGACAGTGCTCAAAGGGACAACTTTGAAAAACCCTGCATCGACGAGTTCTAGGATGCGTTGGCGTAAAGCCATGGCTTTATCGTGGGCATTGCGGTCACTTGTAATCCAATAAATGTGGAAATGGAATTCTTTAATTTCTTCGGCTTCTTCTGGGAGTGTGAGTGGTGACGAGGGTTGGAGGACTCGGTGAGGCACCGTGTTAAAGGTAACCTCGTTGGTTGCCATACGAGCGGATTTGGTAACGCTCTTTTCAACCATGACCGGGTGATCGCTCACTGCTGACCTATCTGCTGAGGCACTTGCGCCCATATAGTGCTGGTTTCAAGAAAAAAAAACTGGTCGGAAACTGCTTTCAAGAAAAAGCTCAGATCCCCCAAGTGTTCTAAACCTCTTGTCACATGTGCGCAGCGATAAGCGGCACGTGATGCTCCGACCTTTTTTGTCAGCGGATTCTCCGCCCCAGCCTTGAATAGTGTGCTGAGGACGGGCTCGAATCCATAGTGGAACATATTTTAGATGCTGCATGTAACTTGGAGGGCTGGGTGCCTGATGCACAGCAGACAAGTGCATTCTGTAGGATTTTTCTTTTCAAGTGTCCCTGAAACAGAGTCCAGTTCAAAAGGACTAAGGATCGTCGCGAAACCCAGGTCAAAGTCCGTGAGGTCATGGCACCTAAAAGTTCCCTGGGATAGGCAGTGCTGAATTCCCGATTCATTCATCCCCAACGTCAAAGCTACCCATAGACCCCACAAAATCTGGAAAGAAAAATCAAAAAGACCACATCGATCAAAACCAAAAACAAAAAAAAACATCCGAAAAGCGCAGTCCCCAACATCGCGTCAAGCGACATCATTCGCTACAAGCGCGTCAAAAGTCCGGAGCTGAAAACGTTTTTGTTCAAGGAACTTTTGGTTTCTTGTTTATAAATGCACCATCCTCAAACAATTTCAAAACAGAATGTGTGGATATTTAGGCTGTGTATCGATGTCCTGGATTTTCACTCTCCGCTAGTGGATTCTAGATAACAAAAAAATAAAAAAATTGCGTAGTGGGACATTTGTAGATCGATGAAATTGATGTGGGTTCATGAAACTACCATTAGCTATCAGCTAGTATGGCATGGCATATAAATACCAGGAAGGGTATGCTGAATATCCACCCTCCTTGTGATATTCAAACATGACTTGCGTTTTGGGCTCTCATATCACCGAAGTCCTCCCCTCCTACTCCAGCTTTGGCACACGCCACACAGGATATCAGCAATCTGCAGCACCACCTCCTTATACCCGTAATGCAGACCAACCCGCCAAGACTAAAAAGTTGGTAAACGTCTTTTCCATCACCCTCGACAGCCCATCCATCCATCTCCGTGGCGTTCAAGCACCAATACAGGAGACAGACACCTTTCAGCGCTCACCTGCACGACTCTCTGGACGCGTGCGATATGATGGATCTATCCCATTTCGCAGACTTCAAGGAATTTCATTGCGTGTGCGAGGTGTTGAGCGAACGTATACGAGCAAAAATCATGTGTACGGGCATCGCATGATACTGGATGGACGATCGTGGCTGTGGATTCCATCGCAAGACGACAAAGAAGGGGCAGATCGGGAGTTTGGCTTCTATGTCTCTATTCCGGATAATTGTCCAGCAACATGTATGACCGAGGACGGTTCCATTCGGTACTTTGTCGATGCGACGCTAGTATTAAACAATGGGGGATACAAGGCAGTTGAGAGACGTGAATTCATTATTCATCGCGCACCGACAAAGTTGGAGATGGAGCTCCTCAGTCCGGTCTGGGATTCAAAGCAACACAATATTGGAATCCGATACACAGGACCTAGGTTACTCTTCTTGAACCCTTACACCTCCAAATGCCCCACGCTTCATTTTACAGTGCACTTTACGAACGCACACAGAATCCGCAGACTGACTACATCCCTCATCGAAGAAACCATTCAGAAAGGATTTAAACCGACTCTGAACCCATTCACGGGTCCATCGCCAGTAGAGTGGACTCAATCGCGGGTCGTAGGCGAGACAGAGTTGCCTGTGCCTGAGGAAGGGTTTGGTGCTCGGGGTGCATTGGAAGTCGAGGGTGTTGCGCAGGAGGTTCATGGGGCGTTGGTGGGAGTGAGACATTGGGTGCTTGTGCGGATGGTTTTGGATGGGGGAGAAGAGGTGGAGGAAACTGTGCCTGTATGGGTTGTCCCAGGATTTTAGAGTAAATAGAAAAAAGTCGGTTAGAACCTTATTGCATAATTTATCATAATGTGGTGAAACGAAACTTTTTATTGTAAGATAATCTATGTTGATTTTGTAACGTTATTGTTGGTTTTATTGCAAGACAATCTATGTTGATATTGTAACGTTATTTTTGGTTGCTTTTTGACAGCCTGTCAGCGTCACATAGACCGCCCTTTTTAATTCAAAGGTCTGCAGTCCGCAAAAGTTGCACACATCTCCTTATCCGTCGCATGTGTTTATATGCAATGTCATTGGTAAACGATGCATGTTGCGGAGGTTGGAAGAAAACTCCATCGTATTTGCCTCTTACTCGATGCGAGATCCAAGCGATCTGCTGCTTACATACTATCACCATACCTACGCGTCCCAACCTTTCGTCTCGCCGTGTTCGCACTCCAAAAGGCCATGACGACCCTTCAATCCAGCCGAGGGAGCTACGGCAGCGCCTCATCGCTCCCACTCGCACTTGACAATAAAGTAGACAAGCGGAAAAAAAAGTTTGCGAGTTTAGGTATACAATACTGTATGTCCAGTTGTTATTGTACCTCATTGACGGTGGTGGGTAGGTAATTTGGTTGGATCAAGAGAATCGGTTACGGTTGGACAACTTCGATCAAGAGTTTCTCAAAAGTATGTGATGCTCCGTATACGTCTATATTGCAAAGAACTAAACGAAACGCTAGACATTCATCTGAGGTTTACACTGTGAAATTCTCTTTGGACGATGAATATGTTGCGGCTGGATTGGGTGATGCACGGATACCAGTACGTTTTCTGCAAAATTTCAAAAGTGTAGCCAAATGTGTTGTTGAAATGAAATACGTAGATTATATCCGTCCGAACACATGAGACGCTATGTACGTTGCCTGCTCCCCTCGAGACCGCCCTCCCAGTCACTGGTCTCGCCTTTCGTCCCGAAAATGCAGCGTACAAGAACCGGAACGTACTTGCAGCCTCATGTACGTTTCTTCAAGTTTGACCGCCACGCACGTCGCTAAACAATGTCACTAATATCACCATAGACGCTTCAGGACATGTTGTACATTATCACATTACATCTGGACAAGCCATATCGACGATAAAGGAAGCAGATAACCAGATCAATTGCGTCTCGTATGATGGATATGGGATGCGGTTTGCAACGGGAGGAAGTGATTGTTGGGTCCGGGTGTATGATGGGATGGGAATGAAGGAGATTGCGAAAATGAAGGCTGGGTAAGTGCGTTTTTTTTCGTATTATTTCTGTGAAAGATGGCGTGTGCTGATTTCAAGTGTAGAACGGGCGGTATACCCGCTGACACAGCCGGGCACTCTAACCGTATCTTTTCGGTAAAGTTCCATCCAACCGATCCGCATTGTTTGATCAGTGGTGGTTGGGACAATACCATCCAGGTAAACGTCTTTCGATACATGACCGTGGTGAGCATTGGAGTTGACACGGCTTTCATTTAGATTTGGGATATTCGTGTGGGACATTCCGTCGCAAGCATCTACGGACCACACATTTGCGGGGATGCTTTGGACATATCGGAGGATGGGTCAAAGATACTGACCGGGTCATGGCGGAAGGAGGACGTCCTCCAGGTATGAGCGCCCATCCGCATCTCTTCCATGGGACCTGACACTCACTCGTCATACACTAGATTTGGTCCCTTAAAACACACAGCCTGGTCGAAACCCTTCCCTGGTCCGTCGATCCCGACAATAAACACCACACGCTCCTCTACTCGGCTCAATACAGCAAAAACGGCAACAAGTACATTCTAGCCGGCGGAGGAGGAATTCACAATCAAGTCAAATTGTACAGTACGGCTCTCAAGCGGCCAGTGGGTATGGTGCATTCTGTGCCGGGGACGGTGTACGGGGTTGCGATGAGTGCGAACGAGAAAGTTGTTGCATTTGGAGGTGCAGACAAGGGTGTTTGGCTGTTTGATCTAGATTTGAATGGGCTGAAGGATTTTGTATACTGAGCATGTGTGCGTTGTTTTTTGTTATTGAGGTATAGTTGCAATAGCACTGGACGTTATTTTGCTCGTTTGTCACATACGCTGGGACCAAAGGCATGTTCTCCAAAGAAAAGCAGTGGCGAAAAAGAAAAAAACTCACCCACCCACCTCGAAAAATTCCTCAATCCCCACCTTTCTATAACAAACCCCCAGATAATCCACCGGCACCTTCCGATCCCCCATTTCAACAATCACAACCACCATCCTCCTCTCCACATACATTTTACACAACCGTCCGTCGCGGCGTAGCATCATGGACTGGTGCTCTGCTGGTCGAAAGTAGTAAGCTGCCTGAAAGCCTGTGCATCGGACATGGGTTGCGAGTGAGTCGGAAGGAGGAGAAAGGAGAGCGGGTTGTAAGGCGGTGAGAAGAGCTGTAAAGTGCGTTGGTGTAAAGGAGGAGAGATCGTGGTGGTGAATGTGGAGAAGGAGAGGGACTACATGCGTGGGAGATTTCTGGATGAAGTGCAGGGTTCGGGTGTGGGAGGGGTGATGGGAGGGCTTTTGTGGGGGGATTGTTGCGGAAAGAGCGTCCACGTCTATGGTGCGAGGTGCCTCCGGGGCTCCTCCGTCGTTGGGTGATCCATCAGTTGACAATCGATCCGTGGATCCTGCTGTGTCCTGGGCAGGTGCTGATGCTCGTTCCAACATGTTTTACTCGTACTTTAAGAATAGGGCACCATTCCTTCTGCCGCACACGAGTCATTGGGCCGTCCTCGAACGCGAAAGCAACGACACAGCACGACAAATCGCTTGGGTGGTTGGAACCGTCCCAGTGATGAAATATAAACAAATGACCCTAAGTTCTTGTCCTCTTGCTTTTACACGCCTTTTGACCTTGTGCTTGATGGAAAATGCAAATCGCTTTCTTACTCTTGCTTTACCTTTTCTGATTAAAAGTGTGACCAGCACCAAGCCGGAGGAGCTCAGCACTATAGGACATGCAGTGTATTGTGAGTGAAGTGAAGTTTCAGTCCTGTGAGCGAAGGCATTACCTCATATTCTATCCCCACAAAGTGAAACTTGCGGGCCTCCTTGGCCTACAGGTTGCCAAACTAGGTTCTTTGTCCGCTTAATTGTCTCTCTTTGAGCCAAAAAGCCATACTGTCTGGAATCCTTTTCACATACAGAGAATCAGTATCTTCTTCCTTGATCTAACAGTCTTTGTTCTTTGTGTGGACTGCCAGCAACTCAGGCAATCTGTGCTATTTCTTGACGAGGAGTCACGGCTTTATACCGTAAGCATGTCATTTAAACCATCTTTCTATTAGCCCATGTTAAGAAAGAGCGCTCGTCGAGATTGGCCCACATTAAGTTAGCATGCTCGCTGCGAAAGGTTTTCGGGGGTAGATTGTGCAGCAACATGTGCACCCTGGTACCTTTATCGTTGTTTCTGGGCGGCGAGTATGTCCAGTGCCAGAGCACTGTCATTGAATTAGATCCTAATTCAACTTCGCTTTAGAAACCACCCAGCGAGACTAGGAAAGAGCAACAGATTACGACAAGTATTCATCAAGTTCGTCACTAACTGACCGTAGGGCTTGTTGATGGCTGTAAAGCCTGTGAGAATTTTCATTGAACGAGCATATTTAGATCAGTCTTCTCATTGTGTCCATCAACAAAAGCCACAGATAACCGAGACGTTGTACATGGGTTTCCAGCGTCTCCATGCCATGATGCCCATTCCGAGTGAATGAAGGTGTTTCCCTTATATCACACCTGCAAATGATTTTATGATAGTATACGATATCGACTGGATCAATGGGAGAACATGTGGTATGTATTTCTGAAGATAATTCCCTCGTGATGCACATTTGTTGCGAGCAATGAAAAAAGGTAATCGTTTACTCATCCATTCCCGCCAATAACTCAAAGGCGCCACCATCTTGCTCTGGTTGAATGTCTTCCTCCTCGCTCTCGTCATCTTCTTCCTCCTTCACCGCAGCGCGCTCCTCATCCTTCTCCATTCGTGATGCATTGTGTCCAATTTCCCTCCACAAGCCCTGCGAAAATCCCTTTGGTTTAAAACCTAACAAAATTCTTCCATCCACACACATTCTTAATATCATGTTAGCGGCGCGATATACATCGGGACGGGCTACCCGCGCTGTCAGGAACCCACGGTCAAGTGCAAAAGCTTCGCAAATTCGCCAGGCCGACCAATGAAATGTGGATGCAGTATCTGGGTCGTCTTGGTCAGGGTGGTGAAGGTTGAGAATTTCCTCCAGAGGAACACGTTCGGCGAGGTATTGGATGGACGTGTAGGGTTCTTGAACTTGCGAAATGCGGTACATCCCCGCAAGGATCTTCATGGGAGATAGCATGTTGAAATCACACATGACTCGCTAGCATTTCGACAACAATGCAGAACTTGCCTGCAACGGTTTGGGCACAATGGCGGGAAATACCAGTCCCGGACAATCGCATAATCTTACATCGGACGTCAAGTGTATCGTCTGAAAATGCTTCGTATGCCCTGGTGTGCGAGATGTGGATACGACCTTGCGTCCAATAACACTATTAATCAATGATGATTTTCCAACGTTTCTGAATGGGACCTGGGTATTAAGTACAGCTATAAAATTGAATACGCTGCGCGATACCTACGGATGACCTGTTATCCACCGCTGGTGAGCAACAGTCAGGATTTGCAACTAAAAACTGATTGTGTTCTTACCGACTAGACCAATCGTCACCCAGTTTTTATTTGGTTCTGCTTCGTGCTCTTCGATATCTAGCTTATTCACCATGTTATCTACAATTGAAAAATAATGTCAATGTATGTCTGTGACTATATCCTTCGTAGAGACGCAACTTGCCAGCATCTTCACAGTTTTCGTCCACTTCGCTCTCCTGGCTCTCATCTTCAGTAAGGTCTTCTTTCGCATCCAACTGTTCCCGCTTTCGTCGTCCTCTTCTCCCCGACACCTCCTCGTCGCTTTTTCGCTTAGCTTCTTCTTCCCGCTTTCTTCTCTCATCCTCAGCTCGATCGATAAGCACATCCCAATCAACCTCGACACCGCCCTTTACCAGATTCGTATCTCTACAAGCGCGTAATACTTCTGGCACACCCACAGCGCGGTAGTATCGCTTGTACTTTCGGCGGACGCGGGACTTCAAGGCAGCTGGCGGGAGAACATACGGGTATGTGAGAGTCACATGAAGAGACATTGTTCATAGACTCTCGCACCTGTAGCAGAGTCTGACTTCAAAAACCCATCTTTGGGGTAGCAGCTAAAGCTAGCGGCACTGATCTCAGGAAACTCTGCCCTGAAATAGTTTGTCCATGCTTCAAGTGTGTCTTGGCCGACCAAATCAATCTGTAAAGGTTTGTATGAGGAGCTATTTTAAATGTACCTCGCGCGCACAATAGCCATTTGCGGACCTTATTGAATACCAAAATAAGTTTTCGCCCAAGATCTTTCACAACATAATCATAAAGGGATGGGGGAAAGTGGAGGATCGGATGTCGCACGTCAACAATGAACAAAATAATGTCGCTGTTGAAGACTTTAGCAGAGTGCAATCATTGCTTCACATGTAATTGCAACGTACGATATCTCTGCGACACGCCATAGTTGTCTCCAAACCTGCACACAATGGAATTAAGTTCTGAGCTACAAGTCCACTGATTCTCATCCACATATACCTCCAAATTATGTTCAAAATAACTGAGCTCCTCGGCAGGATATTTGGCATAGACGGCATCCAACCATTTCTGAAAATAGCTGCTCTCACGCTCTTGGACCACTTCTCTTGATTCAGCGTAGCTCCATGGGGGACGCTTGGGAATGTCAATGATAGCGTCCGCAGCATAGAGATCCTCGAAAGAGACTTCCAGTGACGTCTGCGAAGCGGTTTTAGAATACAAAAACGAGATTCTGCTGAAGTGTTGTCTAGCATTCTAACCGGTGGTAGGCGACGGAGTGGTTTCATACTCTCCTTCTTCCGCTGCTCTAAAATGTCTTTGGGCCACTTTGCAAACACGGATTCAAGTGTCCCTTTTCCGTACCCAGCTTCTGCAACCTTTGGTCCATCCATTGTCATCTCAACGTCTTCCTTTGAGAGTGCTGAACTGTGCGTCTCTCCGTCACCTTCTCCTTCCGTGAGGTTGGCACTTGGCTCTGCTCGTGGCTGGCTTTTCGATTCTACGCTATCAGCTTCAGAAAGGTCAAATGGTTCCCTCCGTATAAGAATTATATTGAATAAAATACAGCTGAATGCGGACGGGCGTCTGTTACTTGAGATCTATAGTCCCAAGAGTCACAGTCCACCGCTGCCTGGCATCTACCTTCTCGGTCATCCCATGTCCAGTCGTCCCGTATCCTGGAACGTTTTTCCTGCATTTGGGCCTTTTTGGCCTTGTGACTAAAGGGCTTTTTTCTGCGCGTTGTCATTTTGCTGAACCGTTTTCAAGATCTCTGCAAGATGCAAAAGCAAAAGGACAAGATCTCTGAGTCATGTTTATGTCATCATTTGGTGGCTTATGCGCGCGTTACCCGCTCGCCCGACTAGACGATGAACGACAAGATGATGGTCTATATTCCCCAAATCGTACTTGTTGAGGATTTTTTTATAGCGGGGCTACATTGTCTATAAAGTACAAAACAACTATTTCACAAAAGGTCTTTCTTTCACCGTTGGCCTGCTCTATTTCATCTCGCTGCCCTTTCGATATCTATTGACTTCACATTCGATAACTTCAAGGCCAGAGGAGCGACTGATGGACATTGATTTCTTGGTCAAAGGCGAGAACAACCGGGGTATACTCAGTGCATTCTCTATTCCGCCCTTTAGCTCAAGATGTCGTCCATGCCGGGCCAACATCTCGTGATGGACTCTCAAATCTTTCTCTGCGCGGGGTTGAATGAGTAGCCCAACGATGACCCCAAGCATCGTAATCGTTAGCCCAAAGAAATAAGAGTGTACAATGTTGAACCACATCTCCAGCATGAGGCCTCCCACAATGTCGACTAAGCAGCAGGCAAAGGCAAAACGTCCTCGAAGCCCATCAATACAAGCTCTGGATATGATGAGATTCAAGGTCGCTATCAGAGAGCAGATGAAGGCGTCTCTCGCTGGTATGGAAAACATGCCTACCGCGGCCAAGTCGATCATGACCTTTGCAGTACGAAGGGCGATGGCGATAGACGCAATTTGCGCCACAAGGTAGAGGATCGTAGAGCACAATTGCTCACGTTTTGGGTGTAATGGTCCCAGAGCCGGGAGAGATTTCACAATGGCCCCCGTAATACAGATGCTTGGTATGATGACGGCAAACTCTAAAATGTTGTAGGCTTGATCTCCATGTCGAAGGTGCTGCATCAGGGCGCCACATAGACTGGATAATGCTGCGGTGCTATACATGTATCGATGCTCTCTTTGCGACATCCGAGAGCAGTACACTTGAAATTCCATTTCTTTCTGCGGATCGTTGAAATGTTGGTTGCAGAGGAAATGAAAGCCGCTTCTTAGTAAATGTATAAACGTGACGCTCCAACGTGCGATGACATTCGAGGTGTGACTTAGTGATGGTGGAGCGAGACTGAAGAGTGAATGGCTCAGCAGCTTGGCAGGTTCCTCTAAAGATACGTCATCCTGCTTCTCTGCTTCCTCTTTCATTGAAATCAAATGATTGTGCTTGGCACGAAGCTCCCTTCTGGAATAGACGATGTAAAGACATTTCGAAAGGCCTCCACCGGTATGCACCATTCTGACCTTACCTTAGCATTGCATGTAGTGATACTCCAACTGCAACAACAATCTGGCCGATCATCTGAAATACGCCATTCATCATCAAATCCGGTCTGGTTCCGCCCAGCAGGATCATCTTGCTGACGATTACAAATGAGCACAAGGCTATGGCTTTGTAATGCCACTCAAGATGGGGCCCAATAATCAACACAAAGGTAACCATGAGTTCAATCGGCTGGAGCATGAGCATATCGGTACCATCCACGAATCTCTGTGTATCGAAAGCAGGTACAACCTTGGGAAGCACGTAGAGGATTGTCAAATAGACGTAGATGATCAGACACAAGAAACGGCTTCCCCATCGCATGCCGATAGTATAGATAACCACAATCGAGCCTAATGATATAAGCGAGGTCATCTATAAATTTGCGCCCGTCCAAGAATTAGAATATAATCGTTATGGTTCTCAATTAACAAACGTAGAAAAACTTACGCCGAAGGGAACAATAAGAAAGTACCACCCGTATTTATAATAAGTACTTGTGTAGGCGACCCAAAAGAATAGGCTGAAGATCAAGCCGCTGATGCAAATGCTAGTATTTGTTCGTCTGTATATCCTGCAGTTTGCTCTCTCGTATCTGGCAGAGGTAGTAGGATGAGTATCATCGTAACCAAAAGTCGGTGGTGACGTGCAAGGCATACTTTGCTCGGGCGACGGGGTCCCGAAATCTTCCCGTCCATCTCGAAACCAAAGCTGGTGGGACTTTGTCTTGTCCATTCTCCAGACCTTTGATGTCCTATTTGATACGAAGATGGTAAGACTCTATAAGATAATTACTACCAATGAAAAAAAAGTGTCGTACTTCATTATGTGGCATGCCTGGTATCCTGAGCAGGTCAACAGGATGTCGGAAGAGAAAGGAGATTTCAGAGCATAACTTTAAGATATATCAGTAAACACTGTGTGCTATTTTTGACAGTTGCAACATGCTGAGGATAAACACGACTGGACAGGGCTATTTTTATCAAGGTTCACGAGCACGACAGTTAACGCTAACCCATCCAAATGATCCTTATGCTAATTATCAATAAACTCCGCCTCCACAGTTACTTCGGAGCTTTGAATCAGGACTTTACGCATAAACATCAACACATGAATAGAGTCATTTATGTTATTGAATTTGATGGAATTCCAGGATCCAGTGTTGACTTGATCGTCCGTGGTCGCAGCACTAAAAAGTCCTGTATCACGCAAGAAGCCAAACATGGAAGAGATATTGGGAGAAAGACAAGTATAGTGGGTGGAAAAGAGAACAAGGACATACACTGATAGCGAAAAAGTAAATGATGCTCAATAGAATTATGCTTCTCTAATTAACCCTGCGTCTGCCCATCAGTAATTTAAAGAACCGTTGCATTACCTACAACGGATATGTATACCCCATTCTAGACACAAATTATGCCTGATCACATTTATTTATCGTCGGAGCCGACTCCTGCATCGTCGAGTACCTATGCACTAACTTTAACCTAGTCGACAATGCGCCATTGAATGCGTAGGCAATACAAGCTATCCGTGGCGTAGATGTCAACGAACATGTGTGCCTACTTTGGCCTGAGCACGCCGGATTACGTAATGGGTCCTGGATGCGGGGCAGCTTTCCATCTCCAGCGCCTGGGCTCAGCCTCAACCTCTAAGTGGGATATAAAGGTCAGTCCTTGGAGTCTGTTGTCCAAACCTTGTTAGATGGTATGCCTCAAGAGGTTCAAGTCAACCATGCTATGAACGCAGGCAACGACGGCATGCAATCCGCCGAGGACAAACATTCAAATAGCTTGCCAAGTGTCATGGATCAGCCAATTCACGACATTGTGGTGCTTGATGGATGCAAAGATGACTGCCAGTCACGTCTAAGCAAAGACGAAACTACAACCGGATCATTTGACAAGGACGACCGAGCACTCGCAAACTGGATCCACATCCAATGTCGCCACAGTCGAGACAAGTTCATGTACGCACTCGTTCCTGCCTGTTTCAAGGAAGACAGGCCGTGGAGGAGGTACCCAGGGTGTAGTGATAATTGTAGGCGAGAGAGGACGGTAGAGCGCCAGCTTACCCGCCGAAAAAGACGACGGGAGTTGAAACAAGAAATATTGAGATATGGACATGATTTTTAACGGCACCTAATTCCAGAGTGAGAGTGGAGGGCGATAGAGACGTCGAGAGTAGCCACTGTATGGGCGTAAATAAAAGTTTGGCGTTCTCCTCCTCGGAAGATGGCCTTTAATGATTTTATTTACGGAGGCTGCTTTTCATCATTGGTCGTATTTTCACGGTTGTATCTTCTTATGGACACTATGGTTGGACTCATTAGAGGCCCGGACCAAGATGCAGGCCAGAGGGTTCAGCGTGGCAATCTTTGAAAGTTAATACTACAATCTTGTAGGCATTTTGATTCTTATGTGTCCGCAAGAGAGGAAACGACCCCACTTATCACGAGACAGGGGCAGTTGGGAACATCCCAGTTGCGACACATTATTGGAAAGGTTGAATTCAGACAGATTACGCTGGACGACTTCTAGGCTTCAGGCATCTTGTCCGTAACCCATGATAGTGTGGTGTTGTGAAGGCTAACGTGGGACATTCTTCCTTTTTTTATGCTATTTACAAAGTGTAATTATATTATAAAATTGCCATCGGCTTCATCTACAGGAAAACGTGGGCATTCTCCAAATTCTCGCCCCCGTCGACTTGACGCTATAATAGAACGATATACAGACATTTTTTTTTGCTAAACTAATACTTTTGTGCCATCCAAAATGTCGATTTTCCCCCAAATGAAGGAACATATTCACTCCACTTTTGCAAACCTTTAAGACCCGCCGCCAGCCATACCGATTCGGCTTGTCGGAAAAATTCAGTATATGATGGGTCGTCCGTGTTCATCTGCTGTACCACCCGACCTCCGCGCTTTAGCATTCTGTAAACGTTGTTGTAAAACTCTTGGGTATACAGAATCTTTGCTGCCTCCGCCGTGTGGTCGGTGCAGTCGATAATAAAGATATCTACAGAGTCGCTTTGGCCGGAAGTAGCTAGCCATTTGCCAGCGTCATCGTAAATCCATGTGACACGGCTATCGGTGAAGGCATCTGATGTGCCAACTGGCTCAAAATGCTCTTTTGTGAGTTCTGTTACCAGAGGATCAATGTCCACCGCCGTGATGTGCTTCACCCTGTCACCGTACCGGTCCAGAATGTGTGATGATACCCAGCCGTCTCCTCCACCAACGAGTTGCACGACAAGGTCTGGTGCCTGATGCTTGTTCTTCAACCGGGCGGCCGCACCTTTGAAGTATGGTTTGAATACTCGTTCAGTAATTTGACGAGTGTAAACTTCATTGTCACTTTCGCAAAACTGGACAACACGGTCTAGGAGCATACAGCGGCCAAAGGACTGTGAATCGACGATTTCAACGCGTTGGTATGGGCTACGCTCATCAGCTAGTACTACTGCTTCCCGGAGGAGATAGCAATCATCGTCGCTTGAATCGCCATTCACACAGATATCCGCAACCAAGTGATCGTTAACCTCTTTCTGTTGGAAAATCGTGGCATTGTGATCCTTTGTTTGTGTAGGGGCTAACGTTTTTGACGGAGCCTCTTTCTGAACTTGACGGCCCATGTCAAGGAGAGCTGGTCGAGTCCGCAGTGGTCGGCTCTGTTTCGGGTTTATTGGCTCGCCACTTGTAGTAGAGATGTGATGATCCGCTCCACGGTTTACTTTTGTTGTGACTGACCGCCGAGGTTGAAGGAGGTTTTCGAATTCCTGTACAATCCTCTGCGGATCTCCGGAACCGCAGGTGTACACATCAAGAGCAACGAACCTGCTCACGAACAAAAATATGAGCTTTGTGTGACATATTTAAAAATATATACATATGCATTTTGATCACTCACCGATGCTCTGGCCATGTGTGAATGGATACGTGGGATTCGGATAACAGGAATACGGCCGTCATTCCTCCGCATTCAAACCGGTGGGCGGATGTTCCAAGCAGCGTCATACCCGCCGAGTGGATATATCCTGCGATTTTTGAAAAAGCCGCGTCGGTTTCCAGCAGCTCCAGCGCGGCAGAGTTGACATTATGCATGTCTACAAGGTAATGCTTGCCGAGCGGCAGGTGTTCGCCGGGTCTTTGCGAAATGCAGCTCACAGGTGGGCGGCGAGGGGGAAACCATGAGCCCGTAAGACGTACTGGAACGGAACCGGCTTGAGGATGGAAGCCAGCTTGAGACGAAACGGATCGTCCGTGCATGACTTTATCGGATAAAACATACACAAGAAGGAGAACCCAAAGGCAGGCATTGATGGCCATAACAAGGTTCATGACACCTCGTGCCGATCCGCCGAAACCCAGAGACATGCGTCGTCGTGGTGGAGAAGGTAGTTGAGAAGGAGGAAACTTTCCATCAAAGAGCATGACGCAAAAGAACAACGATGGCAGTACAGAAACGACTTTTGGCAAGAGTTTATCCTTTTTCTCTCTCTCAAAGAAACGAGAACACCAGGCAACCACAAAAAAAAAAAGAACACAAGAAGAGATCTTGGAAATCTGGTCTCTTCAACAGTTTCTGCAAGTCCCCCTTTCGGAGGGTGGAGGTCAATTAGGTTCCTTTATAACTTGCGCAAATCAACCCAAACCACCGGGTACCCAGCAGTTAAAGCAAAGGGTTTCTGTTTTGGACCTCCACCGCCGAATCTTTTGCAGTCCAGCCAAAAATCCACCCCCTTTTCTGAACGACATGAAAAGCCGTCCCCAAACTTATGAAGCCGAACATTGCACTTCCTGCTCCGCAAGTATCCTTTTCCACATTTAGAATCTTGTTAGGTACGAAATTTGGTGTCGAACCATATTTAGAATTCTCTACAGGTATGAAATATTGGGGTCGAACGTTCCACGAATGTTTGAAATTAAAAAGAGAATTTTTATAATTATGCCGTTTCTTAATTTTATTTTGAAACAGTGTTTCAGAGTAAGTAATCAAATGGAGGGGAGGCGGAGACCTCTGCATTCTACGTTCTCAACATTTCAACGCAAGATTGCCTTTCAGGGTGGCGACGGCAAGGAGCTATTGAGAATATATTACATGGTTTTCAAGTGGGATTTTGTTTGCGCTCGTTTGTGCCTACTCGCCACCCTTGGGAACAATAGAGTTGTTTTGGGAATAGGAAAACAAAGAGAAAGAGCTCCCAAAAGACTTTGTTAAAAGTCCTCAAAGCAAGACAAGGAGGTAGCTCGGGACTCGTGTGTATTTTTCTTTTATGGCACCTCCTCACCAGCCCTCGCATCGACGGTTGAGTATCCCCAATGTCGTGGAGTACGTGGTTCTCCTGCATTTTTCAGTTTATTCCGCTTTGCCGCTTTAAATGCTCTCCTCACCAATTTCTGCTATCAGGAAAGCCACTGGAGCTTTTGGAAGACGCAAGGTCATGATTTTCGTTTCTCGTGCCATCTTCCTAATAGCGGCAGGCCTGACGATTCTCTGCACGTTATTTTACGATCGTGCTGCCAACACAATCTTTGCACATCGAGGAGATGAAAGACGCTTAGAGTTTTCATATGAACCGACTTGGAATGTACAGCGGATGTGGGGGGACCATGGTGCTCAGGGCAAGATTATCACAGCGGACTCGATAGGGAACCGCGACTACATAATACTGGATCATCCTCGATTAGGACGATGCTTGGTTCAAAACGGTTGGATGAGGTCATGTTCAGATGACGAAGCCATGCACAGTGAGGCCTTGGTTCATCCAGCCATATTATTGCATCCGTTTCCGAGGCGGGTGCTCGTCCTGGGAAACGAGGAGGGGACAATGGTGAGGGAAGCGTTGAGATACTTTACCTTGGCGAGCATCACTTGGGCCGGAATCGACGAGCCGCTTGCGGAATTCATAAAAACACATTTACCCTATTCATACGACGACCCGCTCGGTCTCGTCAAGCGAGCACACGGCAATGCCGTAGACTATCTACGTGATAGTAACGCAGGATTCGATGTCATTATCCTTGATGTGCATGAGACATCGCCTAATGTCCATAAACTCGCCCAAAGTCGTCTGCTTCCTGGAGGCATTTTGGCTGTTTCTCGAGGTTCAATCAGCTATGACGCACCCGACAACTGGGGACCTTACGAGTCTCTTTCCGCCTTGTTCAAACACGTTCACACCGCCGCACAATTTCGTCCGCTAAACTCTGCCATGTGGGTGTATCATTATGCAACCAACTCTGATGCACTTCCCTCTCCAACACAATTACATCCTTCATATATCGAGGATTGGTTGGAACGGAGGGCAGTAGGGGATCCGCAATACTACGATTCTCAATCCCACATTCACATGTTCAACCCTCCCACATGGATTCGCGACGAACTTGAACGTATCACCCGTACTCGGCAACCAAAGACCACCACAAGCCGCAACTACGCTCCGTATCTTCACATCAAAGCAACAGATATACCCGAGGACACAGTGACCGGGCGCTCCTGGCAGAGAGAATATTTTGGCTGTAATCAATCGACACTCGCGAATGAGGAACACCTCATCAATTCAATCCGTGAAGGTCTCGAATTTGCCCATGCGCCAGAAGATAAAGATCTCTCAATCACAACCGCATCCTATCCCCTCCCAGCCACTCAACCTGATCCCCATATGCCTCCAGGCACATCACCATCTCTCACAGTAACAGTGAGCTACCAAGGCGGCTACATCATCCTGACAACGTTTCCTGCACGCGGATATGCCGTGGCAACCGCTGCAAATTGGAACACATACGTCTCACCCCCAGAACTCCTCGGTTACCTATACGACGAATTAGCCGCAGTCAAAACAACATCTTACAATCGTCAACTCGGTGGTATCCCCGCAAAGACCTACTATCCCGAGATTTCCGACCTTCAATTCATGGACGGATATTACATCAATCCCAAAGTCTCTGCTAAAAAAAGTGAGACAGAAGGCACAGGCCAATACGCCAAAGAAGATATTCATGAAGGGGAAATCATCTTTCGCGGCCCCATTGAAGTGTCGTTGAGAACAGACGACGAGGTATTTGGAAAGTCTGACTACATGGATGAGTTCTTGGGACATATGGCTGAGCAAGCGGAGGAAGGTATGTTTATACGTCTTTTTTGGTGTTTCGCTTTTTGCTACTTGCAAAATGTTCATCTGAAAAACAACTTTTGTCCAAAAGGCATATTTGTAGCTCCGTACCTTTATGAAGTGGATGCATCCTTTTATACAAACCACAACTGTGATCCCAACCTCTGGTATGAAGATACTTACGATGTAATGGTAGCCCGACGACCGATCAAGAAGGGAGAGGAACTGACATATGATTACGGTGAGTCCCAAATTCAACACATTGAGCACCATGCCATGGTCATTTTTAGTTGTAACATTCTGGTCATTTTCTCCCTCAACTAGCCACTGTTGATGCGGATGACGAAGCGGATTTTGATTGTAAATGCGGTAGTCACATTTGCAGAAAGCGGGTAACGGGTCAGGATTGGAAATTACCTGCATTGCAGGAGAGATATGGATTGAGACATTTCTGGCCGCATATCAGAAAAAAGATTGTGAAGAGCCGGACGGAACATGCTAAGGTGTAGGGCGAGCAGGAGAGGATCGATGAATAGGGGGAGCGTTATAGCGAGGCGGCTCCCTTGTATATAAAACACAAGCATGTATGGCAGCGGTATTTTGCAAGTCTACGCGCAGAATATATCATTCAACGCGAATGTATGTATTATACACATTGACAAATAAACGGCAGCTCATAATTAAATAAAATACAAAAAGAAAAAAAAAATCCCCATTCCCCTTCCCACCATTTTTGCCGTATACCTAACGACGATCTGTCTTTCCAGTACTGCGCTTGCCAGCAAACAGATGTCTGGGCTTTTTGACCTGGATGGCGCGGTCGGACTCTCCAGCCTTGGCGTACAAGTTTGACTGCGTTTGTGACTTTTTCTTCATACTTTCCGCAACTGCCTTTTGCTGTAAAAGGGACAGAGGATTAACTACTTGTCGCATGCAGGAGAGTATGAATCTGCCTTTCTGTTCTTACCTTTGCATTCCGCAATCCCATTACGCTGCGGTCCCGTACGACACTCGTAGCCTGTTTCTTGCTGCTCGGAGCCATACTCTGTTCCCGCACAATATCCTCCGCTCGTGACTCTGATCGCGCCCTTTTACGAGTTCTGCTTCGTGCACGATCGAGCAGAGCATCAGCGCCCACTCCCATTGTTGACAGTTGCTTTTCCAGATCGTCCACAGTCCGCATTTGAGACTTTTTGGGAATGACGGGTCGATTCTTGCCTTTGGATGCACGATGTGCTTGAACAATGAGCTCTTTTTTGGCCTTGATTTCAGAAGCCGCATCCCGAATGGCTTGCTCCTCTTCGTCAACCATCTCCTCTTCCTCCTCGTAGAATCCTTCGGCGATAAGACGCTCCTCTTCTCGCTCAAGGGCATCCAGCTTGGCTTCAATCTCAGGGTCAACAAAGTCTGCAACGTTCTTTCCATCCATGATCTCGGGGATAGTGTCATATTTCCATTCGTCGTTCTCCAGGCGATACACCTTCTTGAGATCAACGTTGTAAACACCTGCACCACCCTGTTCTCTTTCGATATCCTTCTCCAGTTTCGGGCGGTTAGGGTCATTGGGATCATACTTGACGCGGATCTTTGCACTTTCCGGAATAGCGGCAGGACGTTCTCGGTCGTCGCGTGCCACCGGTTGAGACAAGTGGAGTTTGTTCAGAATATTGCCAACCTTTTGCCCCTTCATCTTCATCTCAACACGCGCTGCTAGAAGCTTATCACAGGCAGTTGTCTTCACATCCATTACTCCTTCGTCGGTGAAGGTACTCATTTGCACCATCGTCACTTCATCATCGCTCAAAATCTCGTCAATCAAAGCCTTCTCATTGGGTCCAAGTTGCTCTGGCCTCATAACATCGATCTTGTTGATCACGAGAAGAGTCGGCTTATTGGCAAATAGAGGCTTGATGGCGTGGAAAAGTTTAACTTGCTCAGCGATGCTGTAGCCGCATTGTTCGGACAGGTCTATGAAGAACATGATACATGCACGAAGATGAGCAAGTGCCGTAATGGACTGCATTTCAATAGTGTTGCGCTCTTCCAACGGGTGGTCGAGGATTCCAGGGGTATCAATCACCTAAAGAGTAAGAACAACAACGCTCAGTATCTATAGTACTGCAAGCCACAGCATTGTCGCCTCTTACGAACCTGCCATCTCAGGTATTTATAGTCCATGTGTCCAACAAACAAACTCTTTGTTGTGAATGCGTAGGGTTGCACCTCCACATCCGCTCTCGTCAGCTTGTTCATAAAACTACTCTTCCCCACATTTGGATACCCACAGACCAGCAATGTTCGGGTGTTGGGATCGATGCTTGGCAAACGGGCCAAATGCTGTCGAACCTGCTCCAAATATGCCAAACTGTCCTTTTGTCTCTTCATGATGGTGGCCATCCGTCCGAGAGCCGCCTTTTTAAGCTGTTTGCATCGGTAGAGAGAGTCACCAAACTTGAGTAAGCGGGCATAGTCTTTTGCCACGTTGTCAATGAGATGCTTTGCCGTGTTAATTTGACCCAGAGCAAGTTTGTAATGGTCACGGTCGTAGAGTACGTTCATCAAATCGGCGTAGAATGGGTGAATTTCCTTAAGTTTTGCATATTAGCAAGACAGTTCAAGGGCCTCTTCAACTAAAGAATGGACTTACATCCAACTTTGGAAAATCACCCAAAATATGTTCCAACTTTTCATCAAAGCAGTCTTGCGCAAACTTGACCTTGCGCATATAGAATTGACGAATCCTGGAGATTTGGTAGTGGGCGTGGACGACCGTAGGCGTCTTGCGCTGAATCTTTGAAAGAACAATGTCGACAAAGTCCGTCGCGGACGGTACGACTTGCACCTTTTTGAAATTGTAGATTGACATGGCGACAAGGGTGAAAAAAGTAGATAAAAGGGAGGGTTCAAAAGTATGTCGTCTTCCGGTACTGAGTAAGGCCCAGTAGAGTCTTTGCTTATGCGTGACTCGTCTCTTTTACAACCAAGAACACCGACTCGAAATGGCACCGCAAGCAAGTCGACGTTGAAGAAAAAGGAAGAAAACAAAAAGACCAAAGAAAAAACCCGTCAGTCCACCAGCTGGCCTTGTCCCAAGAGAAGGCCCTCCTACTGTGCCACGTCAGTCGCGCTTTTGAATTGCAAAAAAAATTATGATATTATATAAGCATCACCGCGCCACAGCACATTGACATCTCGATCACTACCCATATTTCCTTACCCCAGTATCTATATACATGCAAACTCTGCGTTTGCGCATTATTAGCTGCAAGTAAAAGAAGAATTACAGAGTGTGTGAGTAGAATATTTTACATATCCGTGAGCCCCTCCTTCGGACCACGCGACCCTCTTCAATCCGCCTCATCATTATCGTCGTCCTCCGATTGGTCATGCTGGTTTTGCCACTCCAAAATGGCTTCGAGCCTCTCATTTACAGCCTAGAGACAACAAAACACATTGGATTAAATATCAATATTGCACAGATTCTGGTATTGAATTCCTTACCGCAAGCACCACCCTCCGATCTGGCTCTTCTACCAGACCCTGGATTTCCGTTTCCAGCACCTGATACAGCATCTCTAAATTGCGCACGTCCATTCCTTCCGTAACATCCAACAGGTGCTCTTCTAGTTGCGCTAGCTCAGCACTGGGAACAAGTTTTGAGTCAAAAGGAACTGCCCCGAGATCAGATATATCCCCTGTAGAGTGTGAGTGAGAACCCCATGGCGCAATTGTCCAACACGGTCATGTGAAGCAACTAACCTATGTGTACGGTATGGCCCTCTGTGGGGGGGCGACTTTCCAGGTCTGGCGAATTAACGCTGGTACGGTCTTGAAGGATATCGGTTTCCATCTCTGCCGTCTCGATTGGTAAGGGTGGTATTGGGTGCTCGCTAGGTGACTCTGGGGTTTCTGAATGTGAATGAAGAGTGTGACTAACAGTTACTCCTAAGGAGTTTACCACAACCACTATACCTTCATCCTCTGTTGAAACTGCACAAGTTGAATGGTCATTGACCTCATATCGCAGACACTGACATAGTGATATGACTTACCTGACTGCTTTGTCATCTCTGCCCGTCTCCACAACATAGATTGTAAATAATTTAATCGATACTTGCTGGGTATAGCTTGTACAAATGAATGTGCATCATCTCGCAGCTCACATGCCTTTTGAACTACCAATTAATCGCTTTACCTATCGAGTATGCAAGGCATACAAGGCTGACCCACCTTATGCACGATGTCTGAGCGCGCCTCATTGTATTCCTTTGCATTACGACAAATCAGCTCGATATCCGCAAGCCAGTCCTCCGGCGTTTCATATTTGTCTTGATCGAGTTTGCCCATCATTAATCCCAGATCCATTGGTTCCGAAATCACTTCGAGATAGTCTGGGTATTTTTCAATGTCCACTGGATTGCAGAATGTCCGGAACTTTGTCTGTACAGCCATCCACGCATTAGCCCACGCAGGATACGACGATCTCGTCGAGAGTCCCACGCACCTTGCCAATCTCCTTGTGGAATGTCCTCAGCCGCTGCTTCAGATCTTGGAGTACACTCCAACACTTGGCGTCAATCGCTTTCCGTTGCGCAGTGGTGAGCTCAGGCGCAGGTGGGTGAGGGGCAATCGGAAGGTCCATCAAAGCCGTTGGAGGCAACGCGGCTTCTGCAGGATCCGCTTGCTTGTTGATAAGCGCTAGGATGGGTGAAAAGAATTCCCTGCGCTTGGCCTAAAATATTCCAAAACGTAAGATTTCTTCATCCATCAAATTGCGGTCATGCTTGTAAGATAGCAGAAATTACCTGGCTTGGCTCAGTCAATTGAAACATGCTCCGGTATCCCATCATCTGGTTGATATCCTTGCGCTGACCCAAAATAAACCGCCGAGCTACCCTTGGTACAGTACCGCCCTGTTCCCAAGTGGCGAGGATCAAGATTGGATGGGGCGCTGCTTCCAAACGTGCATCCAGAGCTTCGATGGCTTCAGGGCTCCATTTCTCAAAAGAAGGAATGTGAATTGCGGGAAGAGGCTCCAGTCGGAGGCCATCAAGTACATGGTGAATCTCTGCGTCGATTGACTGCAACAACCGAGCTGCAATTAATGTCATCGTTACTGATATCTAGTTCAGTGAATTAACACGGACCTCTATATTGCTGCCCAGTCTAAGCAACTCCACACGAAATCCCCATTCTACCAGTCGCGACACGGACGCAGCAGCAAGTTGCACTTGTCCTAATCTGGGAGGCCCCGCAACCAGTATCCGCGGCTGCAATACGCTTGCTGACGCTCCGGAACTTCGTCGAATAAAAATCTTATGGATCAATTCTAGTCGAGACAATACACGCTCCCAAGTACTGGATAAAAGAGTCTGAATATGGGAAGAGGGAGGACAGCTTGTCGCGTCCGATGGACCGGCACTCGGCTTGATTTCTAATGAGAAGCAGGTTGTGGTCAATGATCAAAAGATAGAAGCGAATAGGGGGCCTACCGCGCAGAGCTTGTAGAAAATCGCGCCTGGTCACTCTTATGGCATTGACGTCGATGAGTAACTTATGCGAACTATCGTAAATTTGTGGATACGTCCTTCGCAACGCTTTAAAGTAGGCATCGCTGCAGACAGACTTCACCCAAGTCAGCACCCTTATGGATGATCCACAAGCAGCAAGTCTCTAGATTCACCTTCAAGTCCGCCCCACTATATCCTTCGGTCGCAGCAGCTAATTCTTGTATCAAAGAGTTCTCCAAACCAAGCGATTTTGTCTTGATGTCAATAATTTTCTTTCGCGCGTCAAGATTTGGTCGCTTGAATTGAAGTTTTCGGTCAAACCGTCCTGGACGCAGGAGTGCCGGATCAAGTGTGTCCAGCCGATTTGTTGCGCCAATGACAATCACACGACCTGAAAAACACGTTGTCTCATTAAATTTGTCCATCATCCTCAACATGGTGTTTCCAAAAGTACCTCGGTTTTCCAGTCCATCCATCAAAGTTAGTAGCGCAGTCACGACCGTATTATGAGGTGTCGCGTTCTCGCCCGAAGCCCGAGCGGGTACGACTCCTGCGAAAAGGAGTTACAACATGCAGGAAACCCTCTGAGAAATTAAGAAATTACCATCTATCTCATCAAAGAAGATGATAGCGGGTTGATTTGCCTTAGCTTGATCAAACAGGCGCTTCAAATGCTTCTCCGAATCACCAAACCATTTCGAATGGATATCGGCCGCGTGACATTCAAAGAATGCCACTGACTGCTGGAATGTTGAACAGCTTGATGCTATGGCTCGTGCTAAATAAGCACATGCTTTTAGCATTGACGCAGACGTATTTATCGACTTGCGGACTCACCCATGAGCGTCTTCCCGTTTCCAGGTGGACCATAGAAAAGCACTCCCTTGATGGCCTCCACCTCCTTATTCAACTCAGGATAGAGAAGCGCAATTTTTATCATCTCCTGTATGGTTTTCACGTCTGGTCGAAGATGTTAGCAGAACGTTCGGTTCAGCAACAGCATATCACAGGACGTAACACTCACGATCTTCATGGCCTCCAATCATGTCGAATGTGACCTTATTTTGGATGGTGGCGTTGATGGTTGGGAAATCTGGTTGTACGACATCAATTGTAGTTCAGGGGCACAAAGCACAGAATAGAAATACACGCACCATTATTATCAAGATGCATTCGAAGTCTTTCTTTGATTTCATCTTGTTTCCCGGCAGGCCATTTTTCAAGAAGCGCTGTACATCGTGCATATTGGAAGAGTGGTTTTCCCATATCATCCTCGTCTTCCGACTGCCAGACATAATAGTCGTTAGTATTGAGGCGTCAAAGATATCACCGCAACAAAAATCCCGTACATCGTAACTCAAAACGTTGCCTCCCACAGTGCTGGCCATTGGCAGCCGCTTGGGGCGAACGGTTGGGGGAGAAGACCATCGCCGACCATCCTCGGCGCCAGTACCTTGTCCACCCAATTCTGTCTCATACAGTAGGCGGAACGCTCGACCTTCGTTGTAATCAACATTTCTTCGATTTCTCAACGGTCGTGACTGATTGAGGAGCGATGCATCCAAATCCACTTCTGGCGACTTCTTTTTCCCACCGTCTGTCGGCCATTTAAGAACATAACTTACACCCGAGTTACGTTTCCGTAGAGAGTATGGCCCCGCATTTGGATCTATCTCATCCTCTTCATCTTCTAAGTTACGTTTCCGCTTCGAGCTCACCGGAGGTGTGGAATGGCGGCTTTCATCAATGTCTGCGGAAGGCACATCCACTTTACGTCTTATGCGTGTCACGCGGGAGTAGGCAATGATAGGATCACCATCATCTTCATCATCGCCGTCATTGTCTATTGAACGCCCCTCGTCATCTGCGATCAAAGGCACGGCATCGGTCAAAGAGTCCTGCTGTGCTGCATCCTCGGCGAAAGAGGTACCGAGTGAATTCCTTGTTCTTCTCTTCTGACCTGCACTTGCAGGTGTTTGGGGACTGTGTAGAACATTCTGTCCTTCATGTGCTCTACCCGTAACACTTGCCCTATTTCTGTCAGACCTTCGAAGTCCATATTGAGGGGTTCTGTCGGCATTTACAATCTCCATATGATCTTCCGACATGTAGCTATCCGAAACACAGTATGTCACAGGTTTTTTCACGCGTCTGCCACTTCTCGAAAGCGTTTCTTCTTTTGCGTCAATTCTGAAGGATTTTTCCTCACGCTTGTACGAGCGCCGCACTATCCTGCTTTCAGTGCGGTTTCGGTCTCTATCTCTCAATCTCTCGCCTCTGGAACCCCGATTGACAGGTGAATGATCTGGCTCTTGGCTCATGGGTGCGGCCGCGCGGCGCCTCTTGGGATACCGTCCCTCCGCTGCATTTTCTTCGCCAATCCCAGCTGTCGTTTCATTTTGCTCAAAAGTACTGTCCGTCGGCCGACGTTTCGTGCCCTGCCGAAGACTTACATCGCTTTTCTGTGTTTTGTTGTGCTGAGATACACTTCTATCGCTCATTTGAGCATGTTCCTCATCAGTGCGTGGAACATTAGAGTCGGATTCCTCGGTTGTGGTGAAGTCCTCCGGGGCCGGAGGATAGTCAGGGTGACTTTCGGGATCACTGTCAAGTTTGCCGGAAACCAAATGTACACCGTTTTGAATTTTTCCTGTTAGTGAGTTGATTGTTTGTGGTCGCTGTCAACAAGTTAAGCAATGAGTGCTTTAAAAAAACAGGCATAATAAAGGCCGTTCAAAGATCCCCACCAGATCAGTTTCATCGGTTGTCATGATTCCGACTGTTTAACACTTGCAGCAGAAATTGGACTCTGCAGAATGACTTCCGATCTGACACATTGAACAGCACAGCGGAAGATAGGAGAGGATAAAGATTGTAGAGTGCAGCCAGCCCCGAGAGATATGAGAGTCCTTTCGACAAAAGTGAAGAGTCAGGTGCGCAGCGCGGGAATTAGAGACAGCTCTTGACAGAGTACACCGGCTGTGTACCGTACGTTCAAGGATTTGTACTGGAAATATTAGTCTGCAAGCAAAACGACGCTGGGTATAGATGCTGGTAAAGGGTTGGAAATGGTGAAGATCACCTCGCTTACTCTCGTTGTCCACAGGTGCCAAGCCACTTGGAAATGGACAACTGTGCCACATCGGAGTTTTTGGGCCTTCCTTGCTCGAACATCTTTACCGATGAGCAGAGTGTTCAGATGCACCTGAATACTGGTAGAGCACCCCGCAGAGATGATGAAAGGTTGAAAGGATGGAAGCCTTTATATGAATTTATGCTTGCGTCAAAACCAGCTACCGGTATCTGAAAGCAACAATTACTTTTGCATTTGTTGTCATTCTCCTCTTTCATAATGAGGTTTGACATTTCATATTGACTGAGTGTCCCATTATTTTGACATGTCTAGGTTTAGGTGCATCATAATAAAAGTAAATGGAGAAATGGAAATAAAGAACGAAAACTAGTTACTCCTCGAGTTGTGCGTTTACACATTTTCAAACTCCGATACGCCATACCGTTCATAACGAACACATGCATGTTAACTGGGAAAACCTCACTTGAAAACAGCATAGGTACATCCTTCTCCTGTTGGATGATACCTTTACCGAGTTATTTTTAGCTTGGTTGGATGCATCTGGAAGTGGTACACCGCCCACGGTTCGTCAGCAACACATAAGCAATTGTGGGCAAGACTTGCCAAAGGCTCCTCTTACTTTCAAAGTCAACCCATACTAAAAAAAAAATGGAGCAATCGACGCACCGTACTGGTCTAGCAGAGATACCCCCACCACCAGATAAAATACCCCCAACGAGACCAGATAATGCTGCTAAAACGCTCCCACCTGGACGAGAACACGGATTGGAAAGTGGAAAGTCTGTCAAGCAAGGAGGCGTTGCGCGTCAAGGACATGACCAAGGCCGTGCCGAAGTTGCTAGCGCAAAGAATGGAGCTCATGAGCATTTGCAGAGCAGGGAAGAAAACTTAATTCATCACCAGGTGGTATGTATATGTGACTGAACGGCGTTTCATTTGTCTGTAACGTGCGATAGTAATTGATTGTACTTTTAATAAGATTCTTCCGCCGGTTGTGAAAGAGCATATCCAACGAAATATCGTTGTAGTCCAACCGTCTATGGAGAGTGAAGAAGGTGTTGAGGAGGAGGAGAGCGGAGAGGAAGCCGGGGCTGCCACTGCGATCATCCTTGAGGCTTGGAATGACGAGGAACCTGTTCAGAGCGAGAGTGAAAAGGCGTCCCCGGCACCTGTTCGGGTTGCAAAACCGAACATTATCACAATAGCTCATTCGGACGTCCCTGCACCGGGCTCGCCTGTTAACAACGAACCCGCTTTAACAGCTCCACAGACGGACCCAACAGATCCTAGTAAAATTATCCTTCGTAATCCCTGGGACGCGGATGTCGTCGTGCTTGACAAAGAAGTTGAAGCAAAGGCGGCTGCCGAGTTCTATGCAAAGCATGTGACAAACCTTCCTCCATTCCGTCCTCCTATCCAACCTGTAGGAAGCTCACCAACGGCAACCCCTCCGTCATTTCCAATTGGACCGCAAGTTAGACGTTCGTCTCGAGACCTGGTCCCTGCCCCATCTTCCATCTTGTCTGCAGGAACTACCGAGCTTGAGAAAGGCAGGGGTGGCGGTTTTGCGATGACTCCATTGGTGCCACCAGTCGTCGGAGGTGATCCCCACCCAGCGGTTAGCCGGCCGGTAACGGGTGGGTCTGCTACTAGCAACGAATCAGCGTCCTCTTTTGCTGAAGAGATGCTGGCACTCTTTGACACGGCATTCTCTGTGTCGGGCGATCTTCCGGAAGGTATGGACAGAAGCGTGTCTGGGAATCTGAATAATATGGAGAAGCGGGCGGATGCGAAACCCGTTCCTCCACCGAGTCAAAAAGGGGACACTAATATGAACAAAGCGGTCGATATCCGTTTACCACAACCCGTAAGATCTGAACCGCCACCAGTAATGAAGCCTGCGGATGTTCGTTCTCCTGTACCCGCTCAGGACGTTGGTGCAAAGGTTGGTGGACCGGCTAAGTTAGGAGCAGCTGCAATGGCAAAGCCGGTTGATATGCGTCCACCACAACCGGTACAATCGGACTCAACTGCGGTACCGAAGGTTGGGGACATCCACTCCGCCGTTCCGGCCAAGGAGCCCGGCAAAAAGGCTGAAGGAGCCGATGGTGGAGGAAAATCCCCGCTACAGCAAGACATCCCAATGAATACAGTGAAGGCGGTGGTTCCTCAATCCCCTTTCCAACAAAACCCATCTCAAACCTCAGCTAAGACTGACCAGCAAGTTCCTCCGCAATCTTTGGCTTCCCAAGGGAAACGAAGACAGGAATCACCTGGACCGATAGGTAGCTTGACAGTTGAAATACCGAGACAAGGAGCCGCATCGACTAGCAAACAGGGATTCAGTGCTGCCCCTTCGTCTCAAGTACAGTCTTCGACCAGAGCGGAGGCAAAGATGTCACCTTCTGGTCAAGTGCGACCGGATGTGAACGTTGTCCAGAAGCAGCCAGTCACTTTGCAGACTTCATCCCAGCAACAGAAAACGGATCAAAGTCCGGTTCAACCTCCACCCATTACCAGGCCTCCAAAATCTGCTTTTTCCATTACAATCCCACCACCTAACCGCGCCCCACCAAAGCCGCCGACCTTGCAAACGGCCAGATCTCCAGCTCCTCCATCCGAGCCACTTCCGGCCTCCCCCGTTCGTTCCAACCAAAACCCTCGTGGGGGCGCTTCTGCAGTGACAAGTCCCACAAGTGCGCATGGTAAAACTCGGTATAGTACTATACCAGGTGGCACAAACGCCATTGTTGGTGAGCTACAAGATCGGTTCGTCGGTGGATCGGGAGTGCCTCTGAAATCTCCACCACCAAAGCAAAGGGAACCAACCTCACCTCGATCAGCACAAAATTTCAATGCAGCTCAAGCCTCGTTAGATGCAGTTGCCGCCCAAGCCAAAGCGCTTGTTGAGAACACGGGCGACAGACAACGATTGGCAGATGCTGCGACTTCGAATGAGACCTTAACTCAAATGAAACAAAATCCCGCAACCGGCGAAGCATTGCCAAATGCTTCCTATAAAGGATCGGTTAGAGGAAAGCTTACCACCGTAACTCCCACTATCCTATCGGCTAAGAGAGTGCAGCTGTTTCCAGCCGGAGGGTCATCAGTATACACTACCGGGACTGGGCCTGCGGGGGATGCTCCCAGGGGGGAAAGTACCCAAAGGGAGGAAAAGAGTACCGAGTGTTCTCAACAGCATCCGCAAGTCCCTCAGAGCGGGCAACAGCGTGTAGGAGGATAACGGATCACAGACGAGCATTAGGGACTATGGTTTTGTGAGAGGTCGCAAGTTTTATTATATTGTACGATATAGCAACGAAATTTAAATACGTATAGGAATAACAGACCACAAGTCTATACGGTTTTGTGATCTGATAAGGACTTATCCTTGTGACGTTTAATGATCATGAGGATGCTAGAACGATCTGCATCGAGTGCATATCCCAAGCCCGTCACGGCAGTCATCAAGTAATTTCTGCAGTTTCAATAGCCTGTATTTGACTTCTTCGTGTTGTCCTTCCTTCATTTGGTACATATTCCCGCTAGATGACTGACATTCCTTCGACTATGTTCCAGTTCCTGCCGGGCTTTAATGAGGGATACTAAATGACAATCATTATCACACTCGCTGCGTAAAATCTCGTGTGGGTAAGGCAATATATGAGACAGTACAATCTCTTGGTCTTCGGTCATTTTATAATCTAGTTCTTGGACCTGGTAAGCAAAATGCTTGAACTGTTGGAAGTAGCTACTCCAGTCGTGTAGTAACTTGGGGATGAAAAAGTCAAAGTGTTGATACATGTCTGCTATGAAGGCCATGATTAAACAAATTGGATTACCTAGACATGGCCCAGTTCCTGTAACTCAAGCTGTCAATCCAACAGATCTTGCAATCGTACCTTCTCCATGGACAGAATGAAAGGTATCCTTAACGGTGCGGTCCATATATTTGAGGAGGATATCACTGTTGGCTAGTGGGGACCTTTCCTGATGAGGATAGTCTCATACTGCAAGTGGAAAACGTCTAATGAAACACAGCTGGGAGTAATTAAGGCTAAAACGGTTCTGCCAGGAGGGACGCTATGGAGAGTTAACATTACTGGAGATCACTTGGAGAATATCTGAAATGGGTTCGTAGCCATAAAGACTAAAGATGAACTATACGATGGGCATATATACTAGTACGCCTGCGGCTGTACGTCAATTGGAGTACCAGCCGTCAAAGGTCAATTCTTATCTCTCATACCTATATCTACGCCTCACAGTGATATGCCTGCAATTATACCTACTGTTGGTAATGCTCAAGGCCCCACGGACGTAATGCCAGCACGCAGTTCCGATTGTAAGCACTTGAGGCGTCTCCTGGTAAACAAAACTCGGGTGCCATGCCTAGTTCGAGGATGACCACACGACAGGAAGATGGTGCCCAGGGACGATTTGCTGGCGTGCCCCTTCCTATCTTACTTTACAAGGGACTCCCCCCGTTTGAAATCTGGTAGCAGCACCGGAAAGGAGGACAAGGTCATCGACAAAAGTGCTGATGAACCATATACTTCGTAAGCTGAATTATCGGACGCATCTCCATGCAAGCGGAGATCTACCCGCCCGCCCAACGCAACAGACACAGAGCCAAAAGGTAAAGACTTACGATTTCAGACTAATTGCAGCTCATCAACAAGTGAACACAATCCTGAAGAGCGATATGGTTCAAAAGCCTCTTCATTGCAAAAACCTTCGTACAAGTAGACCTCTACCCACCACCCGCCCATTCGTCAAAACCGTGGACACCACAATCTATGGCAAGATAACAGGGCAAAGACAACAATTGGAACACACTTCCCAGATACCCTACCATCAGGATCTGTACGAGGTGGAACACATTCTAAACAAGCGCCCGCCTTCCACTGGGCCGCAATACCTACTGAAAGGACTGGATATGAATCGGCCGATGCCACTAGGGAAGTGGAAACCCTGAGCCAGTGTGGAGCAAACATTGACGAGAACGAAAGGACTACACTTGGTGACCATTCCTGTTAACATGAACCAGAAGGTCAGCAGGAGTGCTCTTCTAATTCTAAGGAAGTGCGGAATCATGTGGATTGATGACCCCTTGTTACTGGCTTAAATGTCAACAGCAGTTCGAATAGGTTATATAGCTATGCATATATTGCACTAGGATATATACATGTGATAGTTCATGCTGTATGTTTTGAGATGGCCACATATAATTGTAATACCTTTAGTGTAGGGTATATAAATGTTTATAAAAAGATTGATCGATTTTTTCTGTTTGATATGCACTATACAATGACATTAACAACAATGGTAACCAAAGGAAAATGCCAAACTTTTCGAAAACTCAGTCTTCCGCCCACCCTTCATCATCGGAGAACTCTTCACCGTCCTCCAATTCCTCCATAAGCCTCAGCAGTTCAGCCTCCTCAAGCTCAAGCTGGTTTAATTCCTCCCGAATGCGATCGACATCAGGAACTGAAGATCGTCGGAGTGAACTGCGTCGTCTCCTTCGCGATGTTTCGGCGGTACTTGGTGGGCTGGCACGTGGTGAGTTTTCAGGTTGGGCGTTAGGGATGGCAGCGTCCCTCGTTTGGGTGGAACTACATGCTTGGGTTGACTGGACATTGGAAACGGACGCAATCTCCAAATTGGTTGGTGCGGGCAAAGATATTTCCCCCGTGGATGCCTGTTGGTCATGATAGCTCGTACTATTGGCCACTAGCCCTTCAGAACTGTCCAAAGGGGCAGAAGTAATACCCACAACGTCACGCCAGGAGTCGTCTGTTGCACTCAATCTTTCAGGTTGGACTAAGGTAAAGGTACTAAAGGTTAACTCCTTTGCTATACTCGGAGCTGGCGCCTGGGTACCACAAACTGCATTGTGGACTGGATTTGGAAAGCCATTGCCGACCTCCGTTTTGCTCGTGTCTCGTTCATGCACTGACTCCAGCTCAGTATTCTCGTGCGTTTGTCTGACCAAGCCGACAGTAGGGGGTTGCATATCCAGCACCTCAAACGGATTTGGAATCAGTGGCCGTATCGGTGGTCCCACCAGGGGAACAACGGTCGGCTGACCGACGGGAAGTAGCATCAGGGACTGCACTGGCGGTATTAAGGGGAGGGCGATGGCGCTGAATGGTGGTAAACGGTTGTCCTGCTGCATATATGTTCCAGTGTCCGATACGTGAGAGTTTTGAAAATGATTTGATATACTCGATGCACTCTGCAATGTTTCTACCGATGGCTCAGACCCGTGGGAAGCAGTAGAGAAACTGCCGAGCACAGAGCTTGCATGGTCCACTGGCACACCATTACCATTCTCCACTCGCTCATCTTCGTACCCGCCTCCAACATGATTCTGGACATCGTCCACCAACTTTTCCAACGTCCTCATGCCGCGCTCAATCACGGTATCGTCTTGTCCCTTTTCTGCCTCAAACTTCTGTCTCAGGGTCAGATTGGCAACTCGTGGTGTCCGTGCAATGTCCAGCACGCCCTGAGTAACAGTTCTCTGAGGAGTCATTCCAAACGTCTCAGCAACAATCATACCCATTTTTCGAGCGAGGCTTTGCTGTTTTTCCCTTGGTGTGGGCGCAGTGACAAATTTCACCATGGAAGGAGTTTTAGGTGGGTTGTTACGGCGAGCAAAGTACTCGTCCATTCCTTTCTGAAGTAAAGAGAGGGGCGCTGGATCTGCTGTTGGTTCTGGTGCAGGGATGGGTAAGAGGACATCCTTCGACGGGGATGGAGATTCATTGCTCAGGTGAGAGGTCTGGAAGGTAAAAGTAAGCTTGGCAGCATTCACAATTTACACAAATCGTGAGATAAACAAACCTGCGTCGGATTCTTGCGTGCAACACGGATGGCTCCAGCATACATGGACGCTCGTTTCGTCTGATCATCTGCTCCCTAGAATATCAATACTTTAAGCATCCGACGCCGTGGGCACATTCCAGGGTTCAAATAATTGCACTGACCTGATGTCGCACTGCAACCGTTGCCCGCCTGGCGGTTCCTCGACTAACGGTAAGCCGCCTCGGATTCCCCAAACCCCATGCGCCCGTCGTTCGCCTCACTGTTCGTGCATCAAGCTGCTCCGCATCATTGCTGTCCAAGATATCCGCCAAATTGGCATTGTTGAACTCATCCTCAACAGGTACCCGTGTTACGCGTTTCGCAGGATTTAATGTTAGCCGCTTCGGATTTCCCAATCTCGGCGCCAATGTATGCCGGGAGTCCAGATCCCTTGTGTCTGTGCTATTCAAGATATCGGACAGTGCCTCATTGTGGAATTCTTCTTTAACCGGCGGCTTTCGCATGGGCTTTCTAACAGCGGTTCGGGCTGGCCCTTGAAGCCCGGTTTTGAGAAGACCGGTGTTCGTTGATGTACGTGAGGCAGTGGAAGGGACTGATGATGGAGGTGGAGGTGGAGGTGCGGTCGAAGAAGTAATTCGGACCTTAGTTGGATCATCCAAAGGTGAACCGTTTGGACTGGTACTGGGACGGGTGGCAGTCGTAGATGGATTATGTTCAGATAAGGTGCTGGTAGGTTTACGAGATTTGGAACTGGTAGAGGGACGGGCGGCAGTCGCAGGTAAATTATGTTCGAACGTTGTGCTAGTAGGTTTGCGAGATTTTCCTTGCGAGATTTTGGATTCCCATTGTCGGTGCAATTTTGAAAAGTCAGGGACGGGCTTCACTTTACTGGAGGTAGTCTGGGGAGACAAACAAGCGGTAATGAGATACGTAGCTTTGGTCTACTACTACGCCGTTGAATCCATCTACTTACGACGGATTTAGCTCTGGGAATTTTTGACACACCGGGTTCTGTTCCAAGGTTTTCTTTCTATACGTGATATCCGTCAGCCCGAGTCTCGCGAATTACGAGCAGACGCAAGTCTGCGAAAAGTTACGAACCTGAGCAGAAACCCGCCTCTCCTTTATGTTATTCCGCAAGCTTGTCGTACTCCCTGGTCTACTTCACAACTCTAGTTGTTAGTGGGTACATCTCATGTTGACTGTCTTCATGTATTACCTCAAGGTCTCCTGCTTCTCCGTCAATCCAGACCCATCTTCGACTCGTCCAGTCATGCGCATCTTTTGAGACTTGCCATTTTGCACTCCGAGAGGATGGCCGTGGGTCGAGTGGACGTTAACAGAACTAACTCACACGTTTATTCTCAGTAAGGGAATAGGCGCATATCAAACAGCGGTTCGCAAAATCCACCTGAAGGGTCGGAGCGCGGTTTTGGCCCTTTCAGCCATATCGAACAAGCAGAAGAGTTAGACAGAGGTGCGGATACGGGAAAGACCATGCGGAGGTCAATATGGAGCAGCTTCGACGGTGTGGTAGCTTAATTCGATCCACCAGAATCGCGTTGGCAGCTGCTAGAAGCGTCGCAAAGCGCGTTATCGGACAGATTTGTCCGAATCCATCGAAAAATATGCCAGAGAGCCCATATGATTTAATCCAAATACATCTATCTCACAATCTCAATAACAAAAATGAATAGGCACTAGAAACTATCTAAAGCAAAGCAAATATGTACACTATCATCCCCAACTATAAACATACATAATATCATACCCCCATGCGCATACCTTCGACCATAAACCGAATGGCCTGCTCAGCATACTCATGCTGATTATACCGCATGTCGTCAAACATGCCAAACAAATTTTCATAAACCTTCTCATGCTCTTCACTGGAGTTGAATATGTCCTTGTACGGTCGTGTTCTTTTCTCCAGTTTTCGCCCCGTCATCCGGCAACGGATGCGCTCAGCCAAATATTCAAACTGTTCAAATTGGCCAATTGGCTCCCACTCAATAAAGGACAATGTCTCTTTCGCCCGAGTGTACGCGATGTAGATCAAATTGTCCTCTACGGTGGCACGCTGCTGTTCCTGAAAAGTGGGAGGCCGATGCTTCCCCATATTGGAAAGGCCGTATTTCCGGCGATGGTCCATTTCATTCAAGATGAAGACGTGATCCCGTTCCAGTCCTCGTGCTCGGTGGATTGTAGAGAGAAGAACGGGCGGATCACGAGGCATGGCCGCAGGGATCAAGTCCATTATGGTTATAGCTCGTTTTAAATCGGCGACGCTGTGATCCGGGCGCATCCGGTACTTGATAACCGTCATCAAGGAATCCAACCGATCATCAAATCCCGGCATTTCTCCAATCACGAACCGCCCCCCAGCCAGATTTTCTAAATCTTCAAGAAGAACTTTTGGCCGCATAGATATCAATCTCCGAGCCAGCTCACGGACTGGAAGACGGTCAAACTCAAATGGACTCTCCTTGACCTTTCCCAGTTCGATCAGGTCAAAGAGCTCCTGTGCGATGTGTCGCCGAGCCACTTCGACTCGAACTCCATTGGCCATCAGCCAATAGGCAAAGTTGATGAGTGGAGTGACTGTTCTGCACACCACCATAGCCGACCGATTTTGAAAATCAGAAATACTAAACTTTTTCCCAAGCTCGCTGACTCTGCCGACGGGCGCATGTTGATATGGGCGAATCTCTGGTACTATGCGTTGGGCCAGTTTAATGACTGAAGTAGGACACCGGCGGCAGACAGAGAGAGGAAACACTGTAACGTCTTTGATTTGGTTCAGAGGTGTGGCGTAAAGTGGTCGGGAGGTTTCTTCGGAGCTATTGGTGGATATGCCAGCGCCTCTATTTCGCCAGCGGGCCCGTGCAAGCCTATTTGCTTCACCCTCCATCCGAAGCTTTGAAAACATGTCGCTCCTAGCGCCAGAGAATTGGTAGATTTGCTGGCGATGGTCACCAAAGAGAATCAGACGCCCTCCGGGTTCACGCATCCGTTCCACCAAAGCGGCCCTAGCAGCGGACATGTCCTGCGCCTGACACGGTTGCAAAAAGAGGGCGTCAACTATCTGTAGCATAGAAAGATCATAACCATCTTCCGCACCTCATCTATCAACACATAAGGAAACTGAGTAAATCTTGCTCCATGTATGATCGGCAAATACAACATATCATCAAAATCGATCACGAATTGCTTTTTTTGCAGCGCAAACATATTCGATCGAAGATCCTCAATCTGATACTGGGGAATATCTTTATGTTCCATTAACATTCTCTCAATATTCGCCGAGGCCTTCCTAAGAGAATCGATGACAGCACTGAGGCGTATATGTGGCAGTGCACCTCGTCTCTGATGTCCGCCCGCCCACTTGATCGATTCGGCGAGGCAACGTCGTGATAACGCTACCAACTCATCTACAGTCCCTTTCGGATCAGGACGGATACCGTAGATTTCCATGAGCTTCCTCCATTCAGCGTCAGTATCTGGCAGAATATCCTTTTCGTCTACAATCGACGGGTGTGCAGGGGCGATTAAATGCAATTTGGCTTTGCTAACCAGTTCATTGACCTCGTTCCCGTAAGTCATAATCTGATCACGGGACATGAAGCTCTGCATGATTTCCCAGTGCTTGCGCTTTGCTATGCGCACTTCCCCCGGAAACACTCCAAGATATTTCACCCACATATCTTTTCCGTACGCGTGGAAGGTTTGGACTCGTGTCTGAAAGCGAGATAATCCTTTTTTTCTTTGAATTGCATGAGCACGTTCCCGGAGGATGTTGACATTCGCTCGATTAAAGGCAAACACGGCTACTGTGGGCACGCCGTTGGGTATGTGTGGTAGTGATTCAATAAGCGTGGTAGTCTAATTGCGATTGCTTGTAAGCACGGCGGGTGCATTCGGTTCCACTCGTATTTCTGCAATTACCTTTCCACTGCCTGCTTTTGCGTCTATCAGAACTACCTCGCATTTACCCTTGGCAACCTCATCAAAGATAGCCAGCTGCTCCCCCGATGGCACAAATTCTTCCGGTGTACTTTTTGCATAGAAATCGTTTTCCGGTCTACGCCTGCCTGGCTCTCCCTCCTGGCGGGGATCTGGGACGATATACGCCGAGCGGCGGCCCCGTAAATGGACGTTATTTAGAAAACACTTTTCTTTAGAAACAACTGTTAGTATCCCGGCGAAGCGTTGGCATGTGTGCCCCGTTCTGCGAGACCCAGTTGAGCGCACACAAAGGGCAGATCGCGCGAGCATGGTCGCCGTGCTTCACCCTTTTGAGGAACAGGAGTCCGGGTAGCGTGAATGAAGAGTGATGTTGCGTAATATGAAAAGGGTGGTAGTGACGGTCGTCGTTCGATGTTAAAGTATCGTCTCTCCCCCAATGCGTTCGACACTACCGGGCGCAACAAGGCGTCGCCATGGGGCGTTGTAAGCCGTTTTGGTTGATGAGTCCTCCCCAAATGTCCGTCGCGTCTGTCAAAGTGCGTTCGGACAAGGTTACACACACGCGAGTTCAGATTCAGCTGTCAAAGTCTGCCCAATCCTTCACCTGCTTTTGTTTCTTTTGTTTATTCCTGACCGTCAAATAAGACGCTAACTTGCATGTAAGCTCAGTTATTGAGATGTAGCAACAGGAAACACATACGCGACTTTATGTATTGTGACGGATGAGAGTTTGGGCTGTCGTTAACTGTTTATAATGGCTAGAAAATACCCTCAGCAAAGGTTGAGCAAGTCGGCACTGTGTGGGTATTTACATATAAATGCTTTTCGAATGCTGCGCTGGGTGGGTGATAAAATAGACCAAAGGTCGACGACGACAGCAATGATCACGTCTACTTACATGTTTTTGATCGCTTCCAGTTTTACGCCAACAGAAATAATGCACGTCACCATCATCACAGCACACAAATAATAAAGCATTACCATCTTGTTTTGTCCGTTTATTGAAGCAATATCCAACGTACTCAACAGCAAATTGCTAGCGGAGGACCATCGCCATCTTCCTTTTTCATGGACCACATGCTGGATTCAGGCTTTTTCCACTACCCAAACAGACAGGACACAGCCTAAAACTGACAAGAGTTCCACAACGCTGTTGCACCATATGGAATATCATATCTCGGTATCTCAACCTGGAATTATTAGTCAAGAGCATGGCTGTCCTATGGCGATATATAGAACGGACTATTCCCAAGCTAAGACGGGCAGATATTAGTGCTTATTTTGCATCGTGTATGAGGAGATGACGATTTCTTCTAGGAAGAAAATACTGCAATACTCTTAATGCACTTGTAGAGCAGGTAAAACTATAGTGCGTACGAGGACAGCCCATTGAAAATAATTAAATCTGAATATGAGGCTGCCGTGCTCATCATGTCCCACCCAATAGATTTAATAACACATCTATTCAAGTGTAGAGGATCAGTAAGTCATTTTGGGCAGCACCTTTCATATGTATCAAATAGCTCACTGTCATAGAACACTGCTACATCCAGGGGATAGGAAACCTTTGACCTCTCGGTTGTTCAGAACCCCACGCTCAAGAAGGAGAAACGAGAAAGGAACTGCACGACCTGGGCGCCAAAGCGGCTACACTCCAGAGACCAGTGCTCCTTTTCACATTAGCAGCCTGCCGTTTCTACAAGCCCAAAATGGCATGTCGCGGCGAGGCAAGACCCGACGGTAAAGAGAACAAAGGTTCGATCTGACGGCCGTGGGACAAGCCATGGCTATATCTCGCGAACTGTCAGGATGGGCCTCACCAAGTTCCTGAGGCGGCCCGAGCTCCGTCCTCAGCTGGAGAACAACGTTCGACGCATGACCAGCATTACGTGCGAGCGCACGCTGCGCATAACCTCGTCGGAGACCAACGCAACAATTTCGAGGGACAACTCCAGCGTGCTTCGCCAGTTCTTCACCGCCGTAACTATCGAATCGAAGTCCCTGGAGCCAAATGGGTCAGCGATGTCATCGTCAACGCGGTCCGGGACATACTCTACGCCCCTCACTGCCCAGAAAACATGCCATGGACTGCCGCCTCGTGCCTCGCTCAGTGTATGTCGCTCGCCACCCGTGTCTGTGTAGGCAACTGCCCAAACCACGTCGCGACATCCGTGAGACGCATCTTCGGAAATGGTGAATCGTCAAGCTGCTACTGCAGAGCATTGTGCAACCACTTTCTCAAGGCGGAACCTCAATCCGCCCCGGTACGGCAAGTCGCTCCTCCGCCTGGCGTTCGCACACGATGCTCAGCAAAGGAGGCGGTTCCAAGCGGAAGACGACGAGGACTCAACCGAAAAGGGCTCGTTGGTGGGTGTGTCTACTAGGTGCTACTATGGCGGCTCCTCTGCTTCATCAGAGCACATGAGAACGAGGTTAGGGCGTTCACTATGCTGTCCCACATGCTGGCTCAGCCAAAGTACAGCCACTACGACACGGACGCCTTCTACGACCTCCTTAGTGTTTAGAACTGCCCCGAGACCAAATTATAGAGACCCACTTTCAGCCGACAGATTTGACTGGGCTGCCTCCTCCGCACAACTACACAACGCACGATAAAGCACGCCTACGTCGCCGACCATTGGTGGACCTGAACATCCAAGGTCGAGATAAGCCCTCGTCGCCGGGTCCGGCGCGAGTGACCCGTGCAGGTCAAAGTTGGGGATGTACGCCTTCGACGAGGACTAAACATCGCGTTGCCGGCGTAGATGCAGGCCGCATCGACACCTCACGGTGGTCCACGGAGAAGAGAAGAGTGACGAGGCGCGCCTCAGGTAAAAGTAGTTCTACGAGAGGTGCACAGGTACAAGCGCACAGGAGAAGCGGGCCTAGTGATAGACCAAGGACCCGGCCGTTGGGGTCATCAACTTGGCTTGCCGAGCGCGAGGGAGGTAATGATGGCCAAGTTCCAAGCCCAACCTGGAATATGCCCTGGAGCGCGTAGACACCCTGCTTGACTTTTAGGCCATCCCGCGCTGGTGTTGCCTTCGTTGGAAGTGCCACATTGAGAAGGAAAAGACCTAATCCCGCTAATGGTGAAGCGCATTACCCGAGACAATCCACCCACGGTGGGGGCCCTGGGTGACGGGAGCTGCACGCACAACTCGTCCCTCACGATCATATGACAACGACCATGACTGCCTTTTACTCCCTTGCTGACAGACAAGGCATCACAAAAAGCACTGGTTCCACCTTTTTTTGTTTATAATATGGGCTTCTCTAGGAAATATTACGCCAACCCACAAGCTGGAAGGTCTACGGGTTGCTTAACGAGAATGAGATCCTTCTTTGCAGCGTCTTTATCGAAACACTGTTGTCGCTGCTAACACTCCTCTACACAACGCAGCTGGACATGTACAAGCCCGACGTTCATCAGGAGCCAAAAACGATTCAGAAGCCTGATCAGACAAGGATTGACGGTCCAGAAGTATACATTCCAATTGGGGAAGAAGAAAACGATCTTGCAGGAGTCAACTTTTTTTGGACTAAACAATGCCCAAGGCCACACCGTTCGAATGATTTTTGCTCCAAAGCACAAACTCCCCACTTTGTTTATTTACGTCCAAGGACCACCAGCCACAGGCAAAACCACCGTCATCAGTACCGCCGCAAGGTCAAGATCTTCAAAAGCAAGTAAATGGGGAGAGGAATCGACGAGAACAGAGGAGGAAGAGTAACCAGGAACGCATTTTCTCCAGACTCTTCCCAGTCAGCCCATTGAACAAAAGCCTCAGATCCCAATGATACTAATGAGTTCCGTATGCTCTCACATCCTCCCCCTACTTCCACCGAAGATCCGTCCCCCGCTGCCCCCGAGCTCTCTCCAAGACGAATATAATGCTCTAAAAATCCCAGCCAATGATGCTTATCATATTCCTTCAAAACCACCGCTATATTCCCATCCCTCAGGGTAGAGCTCTCTAAAGAGCTCGAGACCGAGCTCTTCTAACAAATTTGCGAGGATTGCGAGGATTGGAGTGAGCTTGATACCTGACATACCAGTAAGAGCAAACTCTTGTCTGAGCTTGTATCTGAGATGGACCCTTCGCCCGTTCGTTGGGGATGAGGAGGTACTGTGTGCGGCTATCGTGGCTAACTGTAGATGTGGGGGAGGAGGCTCGCGCGAGAGCTGAATGCGGTTCCGGGGCCATCGAGCACGGTCCATTACAGACGGGGTCGTAAACGACTAGAGACAATTGTGTTGCGTCTGCTGCGTTTTCAGTACATATAACAACGTTTTCTATGGCAAAACTCTTCTTTTTATACTGCGGTTTCTATGATTGCTCAGCAACGTGCGATGAGTGGTGTAAAACACAAATACGGGTACACTGTAGACTTAAGTGGTAGAAGTCTTTGTCAGTCTTTGATTGTGTCATGTCTGTGTTTGCATTGTCGAAAAAGCCTAGCGTTGCGACGTGGAAGATCTGGTTGACAGTTCATGTCCATTAGCGTCTGGTTCATGTGGGACCAACAACCCCACGTCGGCCTACTTGCAGTTTGACTGGAATCTAAATGGCTTGGCATACTAAATGCTAGTCAAATACATATCAGTAAACCAGTGCTGAGCAAGTCCACGCTCTGTGGCCATCTATAAGAATCATAGGATTTGAACGCTGAGCTGGATGGAAAGTCCAGCAAAGGTCGACGACGACAGCAACTGATCAGAGTTAATTCCGCCTTTTACGTCAACAGAAACACGTGATTTCCCCACACTTTATGACGAGCCCTTTTATAGACGTGACATCATCACAACTAGGATATAAAAGCTATAAAGCCCAATTGTCACCCCGTACGCTTTCTGGCCCGTTTTTTCAAAGCAACCTTTCCAAAGCACTCTCAAAAGATAGTACCAGAACAGAATGGCCGACACGCAACCTCAACACAGCTGCCCTTGCACAAGTAAGTGAACTCGCTTTGAGTTTTGGCGGTGATCGGTTCATTAACCACGAGCATATCAGAGGGAGACGCAGAGTGCCCGTGCTCACCCACCGGAAGGGCATGCAGCTGCTCTGCACCTGGGCACAAGCCTGCCGCATATACATCTAAGGAGGCAGAGGACAGGCTTCACCACACTGTACATGATGAGGTTCGTATCCTTGCGCACAGCTCACCGATTTCCGACCGCCTGTTGCTCACGTCCATTGTATTTTGTAATTAGGCTTGCAGTTGCAACGGAACTGGGAGAGGATGTGACTGCAAGGACACATGTACATGCGGGCAAACGTAGAAACACTGCGGAACGCAGAATGATGTGCAGCCAAGCTTGTTATTTGCGATATCAGAGCATGCATTATATTCTTGTCAGTTTTTTTGCTGCTGTAACATACTTGATCTGCAGCCCAGGCGCTCTACATTTGCGTGGGAATTTTGTGAATGACAATTGTACGAATCTATACCTGTCTGTTTGTTCATTAGGTGAGGCAGATGACAGGGCTTGTTGCCCCA